GATCTAAGGAATTGGGATACAGTAATATGTGTCAACCAAGTCGGCGAAAGTCCAGACAATGTCAAATGGTATGCAAGCATATTCATGGTTTCTAGGACTTCAATCCTGCCCCACAACGAAGCACATGTGACACATGTAGTCTCACCTTAGGCAAGTGAGTTTGTTCAAAATTGCCCCTGTTCATCCAGCAATGGGTACCCGACGGGATATGACATGTGGCTATTTACCTTTTAGCGCCTACAGGCTGCTTGGGTTATCCGGGATAATAATTACAGCATGCTACATTGGAAATACGCGCTGTACAAATGAATAACAGTTACTAAGGTGCATACACCTGCATGGATGATCACCACTGTATGATATTGATGCACAAATACAAGCTCATGTTGTAGGAAGAAAATTGCACGGTTGCGATGTATGACATAAGTGCTTGTGTCCCTTCAATACTTTACATACATGCATTTCAGCTGTGAAGCCGAGAGTCGGTCGTGTTTATATCACGAATCCATCATCTCAATATATCACCTCCTATTGCGTAACCTGGACTACATTTGTAGTGCAGTATATGTAACAGATCTTTACACTGCTTGTTTCACCGAAAGACCTCGCGTTCTAAGTATAATGAAAACATACATGATATAGACTGTAAAACCATACGTTGCGTAAATGTTACATGTAACATAAACCAGGATACTTGACAAGTAGTCATTTCTCAGTGTGGAAAAATCCCTTTCTTCTTCATGTATGTACGCAGTATAACTTAGGTTGTGTAAGGCTTATGAAACTGATAGAGAAGACCCTGACCCAGAATGATTATCATCTTCAAGCGCATCAGATGGCAACACTATACTGCACTTTAAGGCACCTTGTGACTTCATCCACAACGTTGGGGAGAGGGAGGGTTGTTGCCTCAAAATATCCTGGATCAAAGAAGTAAATGCAGAGTCAAACCGTAAAGTTCAACCAGATTAATTGTTTCAATTGCAGCAATTTTTTTATACTTGAGGTTACACTTTCTCAGTAAGATACCTCTTCTGGTACGCTGACCCGTGAAGGTCCGGGTTAGAATGAACCTTCAGTAACCCATGCTTGTCGTAAGAGGCGACCAACGGCATCGGGTGGTCAGGCTCACTGGCTTGGTTGACACATGTCATCGGTTCCCAATTGCGCAGATCGATGCTCATGCTTTTGAACACTGGATTCTCTGGTCCAGACTCGATTATTTACAGACCGCCGCCATTTAGCTGGAATATTGCTGAGTGCAGCGTAAAACTAAACTCACTCACTCACACACTCTGGTACGCTTTGGGTTGACTCCCATCATTGATTCGAACCAACAGAGTAAGGCACCTAATCTCCATTTCATTTGGTTTAAGATGTAACAGTACAAACTCTCACATCTGCACAGGTGCAGTTACAGCCTATTCTCATTTTATTGGTTGGACAATACATTTTTCAATGCTGAGGAACCCGTGAAGATCCGGATTAGAATTGATCTTCAGTAACGTATGCATTTAGTAAGAAGCGACCAACGGGATCGGGTGGTCAGGCTCGCTGACTTGGTTGACACGTCATCGGTTCCTAATTGCGTGGATCGATGCTTATGCTGTTGATCACTGGATTGTCTGGTCCAGACTCGATTATTTACAAGCCGCCGCCATGTAGCTGGAATATTGCTGAGTTCGGCGTAAAACTAAACTCACTCACTCACTCAATACTGTGGGTGTAACACGCATGTAAATTATTGATCTCACGACAAGAAAAACATAAAACACCAACGTCAAAGCATAACCAGTCCGGATTATCCTCCAAAACACATTCTATTGGAAATATATTGACGAAAACTATCTGCAATAATCACTGAAAATCAGCGATGACACCAGGTGTCCAGGCAATTCAGTAGATGGTTCATTAAAACTTCTGAGTCGACTTCTGGCCTTTCAGTAAGAATATAGCACATAAGATATATTTCTGTAAGTTGTTATATTCGCTATAAAAGGCCTCACGTCTGAAACAGCTTAGCATTCACCTGTCAACTCAGATCTACGCATATGTAACGATCAGACCCATTTGACAAACAAATGACAACATTTAGATGAACATGCAACAAAGCAAGATCTTTCTCAGAGAATATCTCGTCTCCCCACCTACCCGACCAAACAATAGGTAGGGTCTGTTGCTGTTGAGCTTGACAAGAATTTCCTAGCTCATTTTTGTGAGTTATGCCCCTTGTACGGGCTCCCCCATCTGCTATCAGACGCCACCCCTTGTATCCCCTTCAGACAAAATGGCGGCGCACAGTCAAGAAAAACTGATCAAGTTAACTGAAGAAAGCTTTCACATTCCCTGTCAGTGCCTGTGGAATGTACCACATTTGAACACGGTGATTACAAACATGAAAGGATCTGTAAAATAGCCATGGTTGCCAAACACACGATCAGCAAATCCTGCAATAGACCAAAATCTGCTTTCCAGTCGCCACGTTGTTTACGAATAGAATGTCGTTTCTTTACTCCATCTTGACTAGACTATACAAACCCTCTTCAGACCAGCCAAAATATATAACTCAGAAATTCCTGTGCTATGAAGACGGAACTGGACTTTTACAGTTAGTTAACTCCCTTGTGATGATGCATATATATCCCCGGCATTCCTGTTTGCTGTTGGAGCCGAGTAAAGGGAGAATCAAGTGGTCTCATTGCGTGATTTGATTGTAAATAGTTGCTCACGCAGCCCTGAAGTGTCGCGATATTCTTCAAAAAATATTTTCTGCTGGTCTCACTTATCTAATCACGGTAGCTTTAATCCCACATCAAACGGAATACTATTTAAAACAATATAATAAAATCTAATGCTAGTGATCGGAAGATTTGATGACATTCTATTACGGGTCACGGGACAACGATGTTTCATCCACAAGTCTAAGTACGAATGTATTGTTTAGTCATAATACCTTGAAAAGATTAACACTTGGCATTCCAAACAGTATTTAAAGCCTGTACGGCTGATTCAGTTGGATAAACAATTGAAAATGAAGACCATTTGTAAGCCCAATGGAAGGACTGCCATACAATTATCGGTTAATCATTCCAGAATTTTTATTTGTTTTAAAACTCCATAAAAATATTTTTCAGAGCGAAGTATCGAATGGAAACCAACATTACGAAACTCATGCAGTTAAGCTAGAAAAATTTTTTTTTCTAAATTGCTGTTGTCGACATCCTGTTCTTTATTTCATTGGTGAAATTGCGCAAGAGGTATTTCTGTCTTCATGGATGACAATGCTGGACCTCAGAGATAATTTGCTGTTATGGCATGTGAGTGAGTGAGTTTAGTTTTACGCCGCACTAAGCAATATTCCAGCTATATGGCGGCGGTCTATAAATAATCGAGTCTGGACCAGACAATCCAGTGATTAACAGCATGAGCGTCGATCTGCGCAATTGGGAACCGATAACATGTGTCAACCAAGTCTGCGAGCCTGACCACCCGATCCCATTAATCGCCTCTTAGGACAAGCATGGGTTGCTGAATATCAATATTCTAACCCGGACCTTCACGGGTGTTATGGCATGTTTACGTCAGAATGCCATCGAAAGGCATTCCCTTGGCCATCAAGGCCGTCATGTTCGCGAGACCCACCTGTCCATACTTTGAGTGAACTTGTTGACCAAAATACCATAAGTGCGACGGATTTTGCACATTCTGAATTATGTGGCGTGTGGTGGCAGTCTTTCGTTCGTATACAGGGTGATTACACAAAGTATTGATGACAACTCTGGTTTGTTTGCATCAACTGACATTGGTAAAAAAAATCAAGGATTCCCTTGATACAGGCTTTTTTAAAGCAGTTTCCGTTTTTGAGCTACGACCTTCCTCAAAATGCCAAAAACTAACTATGTGTGTTGGGGTGGTTTAATTTGGGGCGCATAAATTACTGACAAGCAGAAAAATGCAAGCAAACTTCATATACATGTATGTCTCATACAAACTGAAGAGCAGTCAACAAAACAATAAGAACCTTAATGGAAGGATCTTCGAAACGTTATGACAGGACGCTTTGAATTAAAACAATATGATATCTGTTTTTGATCTGAAAAAATATGTTGGTTGCCATAAGTTAAACCACGAGGATTCAATGTTTCATCGTTGAACTCATACAATGAATGCGGTTTATGCACAGCCGCCGGATTATTTCGAATTAAACAGTGAGGGGTTTGTTAAGAATACATTTTGCTATGAGCATACATGTACAGCTGAAAAATGCACCAGTTTCACCAGTTTGTGCAAGAAAGAAAGACAATAAAACACTATGTTAATGGTTATCACTTATACAGCATTACTGAACCTTTGGGTATCAGATTACTGTTATAATTCTAATATTTGTATAGCGCAAATATCTAGCTCAGCTGCTCAGAGGCGCTTTGTGTTTTCCATCGATCATTGGATTTCAAACGGCACATCGTATTACCAATCTCAACTCTTTGGGGATCATACGGCATTGCTTGTGGATAAATACACATACATGCACGGTTGTAAGTAAATGAAGGCTCCTATCATCTGTACATTGCGCTGTGTGTATGGAATGTTACAGGCGTATTGTAAACTATATATTACGTAAATACGGTTAAGGTAAAGAAAAAACCCAGTAAAATAAGTATGTATGTTCTAAGAGCTTCATGTAAATCTGTAAAGCTGTATGGATATACGTTTTCATCCTTCAGGTTACGTCACTCTATAATGAGTTATGGCACTTAGAAGAATGGGACTTCCATACACCAAACACTGCAGAGACAGATGCTGCCGTTCTGCTGTATATGTCGTTACGTAGCAATCCAGTTCAAAATCTCCTGATAACTCTACTTTGTGTGTTGAAATCTCTTTTGGTCGATTCCTTATTTCAAAGCTGCAGTTGCGCCTGTTCTTTTTAATCACACCTCACTAACTCAGAACTTTGAAATAAAAATGGCATGCAAACGTTCAGGAGCAACATCTGATGAAGTGTGGATGTCGTCTCCTTTAGTTCTGTGAAGACTTTGAAGGTTCGTAAAGAATTGCTCTTCGGTAAATGCTGTAGGTATCTCTACATGTGTCACCGCATATACAAGTAACTTCTCATATTATCCCAGTATAATCCCTTTACTTTCAGCATCTTCTCGTTGCCTGTGGATTTCCTCTGAAGAGGGTAAGCAACCAAAGTAAACATACAGAAGATATTGGTTGTCATTGTGGTACATACGCTATGAGAACCCGATAAATCTCATGAAGTTTTTTTAGACGTTATTTCATGTTTTAAATAAGTATATTATGTTTATATTAGCATAAATGTAGGCAATATTCTAGCAATATCACGACAGGAGATACCAGAAATGGTCTTTAGTAGACTTTACACATTGCATCTTTCTTGGAAATCTAAGAAAGAAATCTTTGTCTTTTGCTTGATGAGCGAATGACGTTAACCTCTTGGCTACCATACCGCCGTGTACTTGGATGCTGCCAACATTGCCACTCGAAACATGATTCACATCTTTCAAAACAAAATAATATATTGAGCATTCGGTGTTTATTTATCTATGTGATATATATATATATATATATATATATATATATATATATATATATATATATATATATATGATATGATGTTTTGATTGTGAGAATATGGCTTAAATGTCACTTTGACACAATAAAGGATGACTATGAAGATTTCATATAATCCATTCATGATAAATGGGATAGCTGTCTTATGTTGTGATAGTAATTGATTTGCTTCGCCCACTTATCCAATACATGTGTTCTTTTCCAGATTTGTTAGGTGCTTTCGTCTGGTCGGATTTCCTTATGACAAAATTCCTGCTTGTAGGATTTATATCCGTCGTTGGATTACTAGGCATACTATGGCTCCACGTTATACTGACAACGTCCACACGTACAGACAATGCTGTTGAAATGTTTGACTCATTTTTAGAACCCATACCTGGTGATCCACAGAACGTGTTCGGAAATAATGTACAGAGATTTTACATTCACAAGAGAGGTTATGACGTCCTGGTCTTCGTCCAAATACCCTTCACTGGTGCCGAAGATTTATCGACTCTGCTACTGAACGGCCTTCTATATGGCCCCTGTCCTGAATGTGATGGGCAACCAGACTGCTATTGTTATGACTATTACAGAGAATCAGTCTTATTGTCCAATATTAAGCATCCATGGCCGTGTGGCATGTATCCAGGTTTGAGGACGCTGTGGGCGTGTATTCGCGCCTCCCGAGACCTTGGAATTCATCGGAGGCGATATAAGAGAATGAGGCACGTAATACTAATTTATATAAGTATCAAATGAAAACATCTGGAATGCCTTTAGTTCTGTCTAAGTACATTGGTTTATTTTGAGAAGCATGCATTTCCCCTAAGTATCGTTGCTCTTGCTTAAGAAGAATTTCATATCGTTGATTTCTTCTATTGTAAATAAGACTGACAATAACTTTTACACATAAATAAGAAAGCAACTCGATTGTGCGATCCCTAATATATATCCTCGTTCATAAATAGGATGTAATCGTTCCAAGTGAAACCTTTCTAGTTTGACGAATCCTAGTATCCGAAAATGTTTATGTATACATTTGTCTCTCAATAGCTATCTAAAACATGATACACATTCTCTTTCAGGTATCTTTACTGGACACTTCTACGGAACCCGGCACATCATTTCTACAATGAGTGGCTTGAGGTCCGAACGCGTGGATGGCCTAAGTGGTCTCAGATACCTGCTGCTAAAATGGACAATGCAAATCGAGAATGTCATGCGATGGCCAACGGGAAAGATGTCAGTTTCAAAACATTTGTTAGCTGTCCACAGAACCCCGCATTCAACAGACAAACACGAATGTTAGCAAACATGTCCTTACACGAATGCCTTTCTGCAACAAGAATGTCCGAAAACCATTGTTATGATAAAATGTTAAGCAGTGCCAAAGATACCCTCAAACATATGCCATTCTTTGGAATAACGGAGTATTCGTACATGACTCAAGTCTTGTTTGAAGAAACGTTTCAGTTAAAAATAGTCGATAAATATGTTCACCCACTCCATATGGAAACATTCATGTCTTTTGACATTTCACGAGAAGATGTGGAGACTATTTCTAATCTCAACAAATATGATTTCTTGTTGTATGATTATGCACAGGAGTTATTCCTTGAAAGATATGACACTCTTGTGACTTTTAGAATTACAGAATTGTAGCAAGGATTTCATTCTTTGATCGACGGTTGTGTTCCCTGTACCTGTTTCTGTTCAATAAACCGTGCCTACATACAACAAATACGTTTCTGCGACTACACACCCTCACCATCTCTATTTGATGGTGATCCCTTAACGGATCTTGCCACCTTTATATTCTTATTATTAACAAGTGCTTCCTTACCTTCCTATCGTTTCATTTTTCAACTTTGGCAAACGTTTAATAGGGGAACTGATAGCAGAAACCCTGTTGGGGAAGCGAGCAGGAAATCCCCAAGATCCATATATACCACTCAAAAGTTTGCTGAGGATCGTCCAATAAATATGGAATGAGATATCCCAGTACACAATGAGGATGTCAAGACGTTCCTGATATGTCGCCGTTTGTGAAAAAACTTTGGAAGTTTCAGAAAATATAAGCACATCTTTAAGTGTGTTTTTTGTCACTGAATTGTGCACACACTTCACCGTTGATTTCGAATTTTACCCCGGTTCACGTGCACATCATATAAAACGCTTGTACGAAATTTGCATATTAGCACAAATTCAAAACACTCATTTTCTCAATCATACACTTGGTTCCCAAATAGCGTCTACCCAATATGGAATATTCCCTACTCCTTTGATAGTATATTTTGTATTGTAATCACAACTACATTAAAATTAGCTCAAATATATGAAAACATTGGTCACAAATTTGGTTGGCGACCACTTTAAGTATTTTAGTATGCCTCCGATTTGAATATTATCTTGAATCGTTACAAATGATCATTTCAAGTTTCACTTCTGCTTTGCCATTTTGCCAGCTATGAATAAATTGGCCGTAGACTAATAATATTATTTAATTATGACTTTAGTTCATAAAAATTGAGATTATACATACAGCAAGATGCGACTTCAATCATATTGAGAACACAACTAAAATAACAAAATATCTTGTTTGATTTGGACCATTATACACAGATAGATTATTAAACCATATTATCCTAACTGCCAAAAAAGATATCCATTTATGTGGGATTAACCAACACATTCCAAAACTTCAAAAGTTCATGTTTGTTTTGAGAGAAATTTTCAATGTGGAAAAGTTCATTGCAATTAAACATAATAGCCTCCAAAGTCATGACACAAAATGGAGATCTATATTCCCAACTTAACAATAAAAATAGACTCTATTTTCGGTACGTTATTTTGATGTGAAAATTAGGACTTTTGTGTATTTTGGAACTCTATCTAACAAACTCTAAAAAATGTGAAATGGTGTTTTAATGATGTACCCCTGGGAACAATAAAAACATTATATAAAAAAGAAAAAGATGCGACTTTAATGAAGCCTTCCACCGCTAGCGGCGTATGTGATCACATTTCATGGTTTATGATTAGGTTCAACCATTTTTCACTTGAGCACATCTCCAAGAATATATCTAATTTTTATACTACAGCGTCTGACTAAATACTTAACTTCTATTGATTATCTTCATATCTGCCGCACATCATGATTCGGTGTGGCATCAATGGAATCTCAGCGAATTAGACATATTATCTCCTTATTACCTTGCCTCAAGTGTAAGTGTCGCTATTGTCAGGCGGTTGTGGATCTAAGTGAGACGATCTTCTTTTGCTGTACATGTTATTCTCCCTCTACTGTCATTGGTTTCGTATTTTCGTGATGCCACGAAATAAACTGGCAGCGGGATAGGCATTTGAATGAAAGTTATGAGTGGCCTTGATTGATGTGCAGGTCACATTAGGTCATGCATTGATTTTACAGTTAGCCGCTGCATTGCCACTTGTGTGTTAAATTAAAGTGTATGTATACATGCACGGGCAATCGTGTGAGTTGAATTTCAGACCGGGACGACAAGATATATTTAGTTGAAGTTACACTCCTCAGTTGTGTACCCCTTTACTCTCTTATTCTATTTCTTCCGTGTTTTTCTGTACTCTGATTTCGAAAAATAAGAGTTTTCGTCTTGATTTCGCCTGTCAAGCACGCTTAACACGTCCAAAGGTATTCGATGTTGCACGATTCAAGTGATGACCCCAGCTAGAAGTCGTCCTCAGCAACCCATGGTTATCGCAGGAAGCGACTAACAGGATCTAGTCGACAATCACTGCATCGTCTTGTCCAGTCTTGGTCATATAGACAGAAACATTGCTGAGTGTGCCGTTAAACAAGAAAATACACACTTCCAGATAGACGTTGCTTTGTTATTAATCATCCTAGAGTGTCATTCTTGTCCATCGGAGTGCATCAAGCGGAAACACCAACTATCACTGCTGTCTTGTGGGGTACACTTTTGTTTCTGACATCACACAACCGTAATCACTGGTGTCCCACTGCGAATACATTCTGTTACAAACACCTGGAACAAGTTAGTTATCACGTTTGTTCTTAGAACCAGTGACGACCGGATGCAAGAAGAAGGAAAGATTTTAATGCACGTCGAACTGGACTCTAACAGAGTTCTCTCAGCAGTAAAACCAATACATATCAGTCATCCTTGTAAAATGGAGGTAAGATGTAGAAGGGTTTAAGGTATTGTTAAACCACATTGCTCATATATAGCGACGTATGTTTATGACTGAATGTAGCAATCCGTATATTCCGTGTGTGACTAGACCCACTCATCATTTCACAGTTTAACAGTAGTGACCCCAAGTCGACCAGTCCATGCATAATCATCTCATCATTTATTGATAATAATAAACCTTTTTTCACTCTGGTTAGATATTATTTTATAATTTACCATATTAATTACTAGTGAGTGAGTGAGTAGTTTAGTTTTACGCCGCGCTCAGCAATATTCCAGCTGTATGGTGGCGGTCTGTAAATAATCGAGTCTGGACCAGACAAGCCAGTGATCAACGGCATGAGCATCGATCTATGCAATTGGGAACCGATGACATGTGTCAACCAAGTCAGCGAGCCTGACCACCCGATCCCGTTAGTCGCCTTCTACGACAAGCATGGGTTACTGAAGATCATTCTAACCCGGACCTTCACGGGTATATCAATTACTAACACACGCTTCGAGTTTTGGCTACATTTTTGACAGTGAGTGTCTTGTGTGTGACATACTTGGAGTCACCTTGTGAATAACACGCTCCCATTGCCTTTGATGATCATAAACTGGAAATTAGTATGTATTTTCCGAGAATGCTATCTGCAAATAACTCTCTTATAGCTCTCTTATCTCAAATAACTGAAACCTTACAACTTGCGAAAGATGAAGAGAAAGAGAACTACATATAGGAATGTTAAAGGTCATATATATGCAAGTGATCATAAACTCCTGATATGAATGTTCCTCTTCAGCTGCAAATAGTTGCAACTGAGACCATATCTACTTCTGAAATTAAAATTCCTGACGCCTCCTCACATTCCATACAACCACATACTCCTGCGGGTGTATTTATTCACACTCACAAAAATATTACTAATGTCGATTACGTGTCAAATTATGTAATAAACCAAGCAAAGGTTTCCTTTCTTCTCTCTTGCTATTCCGACAGATAGACAGACAGGCAGAATTTATTCAATTTTTAAGGCCCCAGGCCCCTAGAACATAGCATATGCATTTGGTTATAGATTTACGCATGCATGATAGCGATGACATTGACATATATCAATAATGCGGAATTAATTGCGTAGCTTTAAAAGTTACTGAGATATTTTCCGATTTGTTTAATAGTCTTTATGTTTTCTGTAGACGTCAGGTTTATGAACTTGCTGAGAGTCGGTGGACAGCAGTTGTTGTTAAGGAGGCAGAGTTGTCGTAATTGGCTGTACTTGTCACAAACCATCATTACATGATATTCATCATCAATGAGAGATATATTATTAGAATAACAATAGGTTCACAGTCTTTCTTCTCCTGTGATATTCACTTTCGTGTCTTCCACTTTCTTCACGTGTCGTCCACTTTTTATTGCTCGTCTGAAGTTGTTGCATCTAAATCTTGCCATGGCTATTTTACAGCATAATGGTATTTCATGTGAAAGCAGATATTTTGTCAACATTTAGTAGTGACTTGTATTGAGAGTAATAGTTGCATTTCGAAGATTCTGAAAGAGATAAGTGTCAGACAGTCTTGTAATCTTTGTTTAAAAATATCTAAAAATGTTTTTGTATCTCCAATCTCCTGGCTTATCCACACAAAGCCAAAACAATCGAAGCAAAAAATATCTCGAGAGTCAGTTCTTAAGAATATACCTCTACCACCGGTTTCTTCCATTCTTGTAAGTCAATAGGGTAGAATACATTGTTACAATAAAGTTATACAATTACTGTGTATAAACAGTACGGCAACAATATCTATTACCAGAGTATTTGAGTGCACAGAAATGAAGTGTGACTTGAAACAAGGACCAGTTGTCACCCGTTGTGTTCATATCAATGAGCAACGGAGTGTGTTGGGATATGGAGCTTCATTTAGCCCTGTAATTGAGAACACCAATTATTATGTAGACGCATAAGGGAGAGATAGAAATACTTTTTCGTGTTTCTTTACTCAGATTTCGAATGAGAAATATTCTCTTCGTGATTAACCACTATCAAGTATGATCTTCTTCTTGTATCGGTGTTTGCCTGAAGACTACATGTCAGCAGAAGGAATTATTTTACAATCTGCACTTCGAAGTATGGTTCCTGATGCTAACCTCTCAGTAGCCTAAACCGTGCAAATCAGTCATTGTTGAACTAGGGCTTACGATTTTGCTAAACCATATTGCTCATATTGAGGCACTCATTTAAAACCAATCCGTTCACCTAGAGAACAAAGCATGTCCAAGTTAGAAATGTCCATCAAATAACTGATAAAGTACTGCTAGAAATGCTGGAAAAATGCTTTTGGGCTTTTATATTTTCATAAAGATGTTGTCCATATATCATCTCGCCTATTGTCTTCATAATTTTTATTTCAATCGATTTAACACTCCCGTGCATTTAAAGATCAGTTTACAGGAGACAATTTGGCACCAAAACAACAACTCAAGATTGTTTTCAGATTTCAACAAGAACAATTTTCAATAGGCTTTACATTTATGTAAATAATACAGTTGATGTAAAGATATGAATTAACGTTTGTAATAAACAAATATATGTTGAATGTTTGGGTTACTTAATTATCGTTTGAATAAATATTAATATAAATGTTAGTCTTAATAAATACGTTTCCCGTCAAGCATGCACATGTTTATTACAGCATCCACTATGGTCAATGATCTGCAGTCGATTGTTGCAAATGTGTATACGTTTTGTGTGCTTGAAAAAGACAGCGGTAAGCCTTTCATTGGCTTAGAAAGGGGTTATTACAGAACCAACAAGTTTACAATATTGTAAACGAATCAAACAAGACAGGGGTCGTCTCAAAAGCAAACTGGGACGTAAAATCATCCTTGACAACTTGGACAAGGGAGTGATTAAATGAACGGCCTACAACCATCATGAGAAGAATATTCCACTAAATGTAAGAGTATCAGAGAGGAAATTAAGGACAGTATCAACGTCTCCAGAACCACCGTCATCATTGCCCTCAATGAGATGGGGTTCAGGTACATAGCCCGCGGTGATGACAGTGTTTTCTGCAGGGAGTAGTACTCTATTATGTCGATGAGATCCTCTTCTTGAGAACTGTGGCAGAGTACCGTGCCCTTGGCTTCCTACTAGTTTACCTGGATGAATTTTGGGTCAACAGAAACCATTCTACGGACTCTATATGGTTACCTACAGACCGACAGAGTGCCCCCATGGTACCATCTGGAAAGGGCAACCGAATGATTGGGACAAAGGATTTATACGACGGTTGCGAGTTGGTCTTTGAAGCAAAGAAATCAAGTGGAGATTACCATCAGGAGATGATCGGACATGTCTTCATTGGTTGGATGAAACATCAGCTTTTGCTCAATCTTTGTCAGCCCTCTGTCATAGTGACGGACAATGCCAGCTACCATAATATGCAATTCAGTGTCTCTGAAGTTTGAAAATTCCATTTATTCAATCGTTGAAATGCAACAGCCAGCGATGAGCAGCTGTAACCTCCCTTTCATTCTGTGACGCAATTCAAGGTTGGTAAAGCATCTCGTTTCTCCGCACGTTGTAAGTAGCTTCGATACATTTTCATACCGATAGATCAAATTCAATGTAGTGAAATCCCTTCTCTATCTGAGTACGCGGCTGCTAGGATGGAATTACTTAAATTGTGATCACTCTATAGTTTGCGTCTTACCATTTCTCATGCGTTTCATCCAAAAGGGACAAGCCCTCACGTCGTGTTGGAGGTGTTATAAAATTGTGAAAGCCCCATTACTCGCAATCTCTCGATTGTGGTCCGATTCATAGATTCTGAAACATATGACATTAGGTTATGATTTCAGTAACTCATTTATATGTTTCGTGTTCACATATCGCCGATCTATTTGTACATTGTGTAAACGTACACCTGATGAGCGCTATGGCTATAGTGGTGCGTGCCTGATGAGGGCACTAAGGCTGTAGCGGTTCGTGCTCCAAGTTGCATCGTTCATTATAATATTCCCATTAGTTTTCGTTGGCCATTATCAAATATATGGAGATGACATATGATGTCAAATGACCAAGTCAATTCATAACCAGGGAACAATCTGAAGTTTTCACCATTGCTATTATAAACCTTCACAGAGTCGGGAGGCACACACATATTGGATTTATGTTATAGCCTATACCTCACACTATTTCCAGATACCTAGTGTGATTTCAACTTACATTGAAAAACAATGCTTTCGTGTTAGCATTCCAAGAATATTTGAAACACATTCTGTGCGTTTAAACAATGCTGTAACCAGGGGAAATAAGGATGAAACATGTTCGTTTGTGAAGCACAATCTCTATGCAAGGTCCATTATCAGGGTGAAAATGTGAGCTTTCAAATCAAATGCCACATTGCAACACAAATTGTAGAAAAGGGAAATATCGTGATAAACAGGACAGTTCCAGCTGACCTTATAAATGTTTGTTTTTTCTTCAGATTTATCAGGTGTTTCACACTGGCGTTTCCAATGGCCGGAAAATTTTCATTAATGATAGGGATTATAACTATCGTTGGTTTCCTGTGGATAACATGGATCTGCTTTTCACTAGTTTTCGAAGCATATGAAGAACTTAACCCTGTCCAGAATGTGTACAGGGAGGACGTACAGACATTTTACATCGACAAGACTGGACATGACGTTCTGGTCTTTGTACAAATACCCTACACTGGTGCTGAAGAATTGTCTACTCTGCTACAGAACGGTCTTATATATGGCAAGTGTCGCAGCTGCCATGGACAACGGGACTGCCCATGTTATGTATATAGCAGAGAACAGGTGTTATTTTCCAGCATTAAACATCCATGGCCATGTGGATATTACCCAGCCTTCCGGACGCTAAAGGCATGTATCGGCGTCTCACGAAATCTAGGCATTCGTCGGAGACCATTACAGAAAATGAGGCACGTTGTGAAAACGTCATAGTTTTGTTTCGTATATATGTCATTCTTTGCTGTAACGTGCACTATTTTCCCCAAGTAGCGTTGTTGATGCTTACAGCTACGAATTAAATGAGAGCCCTTTCTGTACTACAATCAAACACTTACTTTGGTTTCACTCTTTCCAAGTAAAAAGCCTCAGACTAATAACTTCCCATATAAACAAATATTTTCACGCATAAACGTTTCTTCTAGTACATATATTGGTCATAATCTGTAATCTCTTGATAACAATATAAAACATTATACTTATTATGTTTCAGATATCTTTTTGGGACACTTCTACGGTACCCACCACATCATTTCTATCATGAATGGCACGAGGTCAGGACCCATGGATGGCCAAAGTGGTCTCAGATTTCTTCTGCCAAACTGGACAATGCAAATCCAGAATGTCGTGCAATGTCCAAGGGGAAAGATGTCAGTTTTAAAACTTTCACTAACTGTCCACAGAATCCCGCATTCAACAGACAAACACGAATGTTAGCAAATATTTCCTTGGGCGAATGCCTTTCTACCACAAGAATGTCCGAAAAACAGTGTTATGATAAAATGTTAACTAGTGCCAAAGATACCCTTGAACATATGCCATTCTTTGGAATAACGGAGTATTTGTACATGACCCAAGTCTTGTTTGAAGAGACGTTTCAGTTAAAGGTAGTCGATAAATATGTTCATGTAAAGCATTTGAAAACATTCATGTCTTTAGACAATATTTCACGTGAAGACATGGAAACTATTTCTAATCTCAACAAATATGATTTCTTGTTGTATGATTATGCACAGGAGTTATTCTTTGAACGATATGACACTTTAGTCACTTTAAAGATAACTGAATAATAACAAAGAGGGCAAAGAGGGTTTTAATGTTTCGTCATATAGCTTCAATAAATCATGCCTACATAGTAACAAGACCTCACTGTTTTATGATCGATCAAAGTCGTTAAAATTTTCAGCCCTTTCGTTTGGCCTTTGCAAATATAGCAACACATGTACACAATCAAATATAGAGATTGTAGAAATGCTGTTTGGGCATGTAGGATGACACCGCTATATAGCCTTGGATTGTACAGATGAGATTATAAAGACCCTGTCAATATTTCATTAATGTGTATAGTAGTGTAATTCTCCCTCATGAGGAGTCAGTGGGTTAATACAGTGCACAGAGCGTTCACGCCCCAAACCAAGGGTCGATTCCCCATGTTGGTATAATGTGGTAATGGTACACTACTTTGTAATTCCCCAGAAAAGAAAGGGATCGGCAGCTTTGCATCAGCTGCAACTGTGGTACGCATTCAGAAACATCGAGGGTACTGTTTCAAACGATGCTAGATTCGTAATGGTGTCAGTATGATCACCAAAAGTATGTATACAAAGTATAGGCGTCTTCTACATCATAAAATATTACACAGAAATCCCAAACTGTTAAACTATTACCTACGAATGAAGCCTGTTATACCAATCGGTTTTGTGATGAAGTGGTTCCATGAGATGATTTAGGATTTGGATAAGTTGCAGTTATGCTGAAAAAAGTTAGTGTCCGGATCAGGACTCCGGTGATCAGTTTTGGATGAAACACGCAATACAAAGTAGTTTAGTTGTGCACTGGTAGTTTTTGATGAGTTGGGATGTTTATGTTGTTATGTTTTTGATTTCTTGGAAAATTAGGATAGTGTTCCGGAGCAGATCTCCCAAACTGTGGAAGGTATCTTGGTGAAACTTGCTACACAGATCAGTCTAGTGTTGATCGCGTTCCTGGTGATGAATTTGGACATTGATAATTACTGAACAACATTATTGTGTTACTCACTGAACTGAAGATGGCCAATGGTAATGAACCAAAATTGGTGTATTAATATCCAAAATCCATTTTCCTTATTGCACCAAATAAGAGCATATGCCATCACCCGGAGTCTCCAAGTTACTAACTCACGATGTACCTTTTGCTTTACATCGAATAAAGACACGTCCATCCCAAAGTGCTTATGTCATACATTCTTCGTTGTACGTAACTATATGTTAGCAACTTTATGTTCATCTGTTCCTATTTCGTGATAGATTAATAGCTCTAATTCTTTATGGATATTTTCATTGGGAAACGATATGATTTCAAATATAACAAATGACACATTTAAGGACTTGCAACATCACAATCCACAGTTAATCTTCAAGATGTTCAGTTAGATACTTTGTTTCCGTCAATATCTCAAAGCCAAATTTCATAATCTCACTTACTAATTACGATGGCATTCATTCTGTATTAAGCTGACACATCGTGATATAACTCAAATACCTTCCCAAAGGCATCAAACCAAACGACGTTCTAAATTACTGCAAAAGGCTACTTGTTTTATTGATTGTTTCCACACGTTCAACTCCCCTGCAAAACCCACCCAACTGATCTGCAATGCAAGTACTTTGCCCACAGTAGCAGATTTAGCATTTTGTTTTGTGAAATATACTGCACTACTGGCCATGATGTGGTCTCAACGATTTGATTGATGGGAAGGATAAAAAAAATTCTCCTTAGGTGGTGCATTTAACCTGCAGTTAGGTCATTGCATTGCCAGTTCTGTGTTGAATAATGTACATCACATACAGTGTCTCTTCACTGAAGCTCAACTGGATAAGCATCATCATTTGACACATAGTTAACTTGTTTGTCAAAATGTTCAATAAAAATTGTGTGGCTGATACCTTACACTAGCATAGTATGATCCGGATAACACAATACGATGTCACAAAATCATAGTCTGTTTAGTCTAGTGTAGTCTGTAGTATGGGTGAGGTGCAATGTTACAACAAAAGCGAAAATGCACATATTGCCAAAAGATGCAAATGTATGTTGAATGGTCATGAATAGACTCTTTTAAATAATTCATGTGTTAGATCAGATGTTATCCTCTTTAGCGCATCAGACAGTGTCATCGTATCCCAATTGCGTAGATTGATGCTTATGGTGTGAATCACCGGACTGTCTGGCCATAACTCGATTGTTTACAGACTGAATAATATAGCTGGATAATTGGGAAGTTAAACGCGAAAAAACCCAAATGTCAGTGTGGGAAAAATATTTGGAATTTCAGCTTCAGTGGTGAATGTGTGTTTTATTTACAGTGTGTGTTTGTGTGCGGGTTCTTATGTACCAAATTTCCATTCCATTTTCAAGAGGATAGTCCGATATAAATATGACTTTTGATATTGCTGCCATGATGGTAGGTGCTGAACAGGTTGTGTTACCAAATGACGTACACAAGTACGTTAAGTTTCAGCTTCTTTTGGTAAGTGGTATCTCGAGAGAATATGTTTCCGCACGACTCACAAATAATGGCATAAGCTCATTAAGTATGTATAAAGTCATTTTGAATATGACACTATTGAACAACATGATATATCTTGTTTAAAGTATCCGCCTTTTCAGGAGGTTTACGTTTTCTTCTTCATCGTCTTTTGTAATGACCACAAGTTGGCATTTAACCCAATCAAATTTACAGGCTCAACGTCGGATTTGTTCTGCTATTTTATCTTGTTTTGAAGGAATAAATACTTTCATACATACTGGCAGCCTGTACGTCACTTAGATTTCAAAAGAGAAATATTCTCTTCTTGATTAACCATTACCAAGTATGATAGGTATCATGCATACCACACCCAGACATATTCCATTTCGCTCGTCGCCAAGAGCAGCGTTGGTTTTCCTAAAGTCAATCCATATATGCAACTGGATAGAAGTGGTTTCCAGCAATTCACGGTTTTCGCAAAAGGCGACTAACAGGATCCAGTCATCAGACTCGCTGGCTTTCAGCATGTTCAGCATGCTATCGCATCCAGCTTGCGTAGATCGATTTTGGTGATGTCCATCACTGCATCGTCTGGTCTAGACTCGAACAATTGCAGACCGCTGATATATAGCTGGAAACACACACCACAAGATAAACATTCCATTGTAATAAAATATCACTGGAGTCCTTCTTGCAACAAGCATTAACACCAGCTATCAGTGGTGTCATACTGACGACGCCGTTAAAGCTTACATCAGGATCAAGGGCAACAACCGTTAACACCAGTGTTCCTCTGTAAAAATGTTCTGTAGGAAAACCTGTATCAAGTCTTCTATCGTGGTGTGCCTGAATTCGAGCCAATGAAGACTACATGCCAGCAGAAGGAATCGTTTCAAAATCTGCTCTTCGAAGTATTGTTCCTGACCTAACAAAACACTTACAAATCAGTCATTGTTGAATAATGGAGGTATGATGAAGTATGCTTTAGGATTTGTTAAACCATATTGAGCCAGGTGTGTATGTGACTGCATATACTAGTCCGAACATTTGCCGTTTGAGACACAGCCAACTCACATATCGTGCCACTGGTTAATATACTAGTCGACCGCTCATTGAATCACCTTCCCGTTAATACCGTGCACAGACGGCAACAGGAAACACCATCTTTTAAACTCATTTAACACCAATCCGTTCACCCAGAGAACAGAGCATGTCCAAGGGAGAAATGTCCTTCAAATAACTGATAGTAATGAATTGAATAAATGGCTGATAATTATAGGCAATGTTTCACTATAGTTTATATTTGCTTTGATTTTGACAGTGAGTATCTTGTTTGTGAAATATTTGGTGTGGCCTTGTAAATATATTGCTCTTATTGTCTTCGATGATTTACGGAATCATAAAGTGGAAAATATATTTGTGCTATCTTCAGCTACTAGATTTATAACCTCAATAAAGTGAAAAACGTACAACTTTCAAAGTGAAGGTGAGGTGAAATTAGGTTGAACGACGTGCTTGAGAATATTTCGCTCATATGACGACGATGCATGCGTGTGTATGTGTATGTGCGGCTGCTTGTACTAGCCCAGACTTAAGCTGGTTTTATAGTGCTAGCCCACTGAGATACCATGCCGCAGTGAAGCATGAATACCCCCATTCAGACACAGTATACTGACTCCGAGCTGACCAGTCCTTGTTGTACCCATTAATGCCGAGCGCCAGGCAGGGACCAACAAGTACCATATTTTAACGTCTTTTGGTATGACGCGGTCGGGATCGAACCCGAGACCTTCCGTTCTCAGGGCGGACGCTCTAACCACTACACCAGGGAGGCGGTTCTTTCAAAGTGAAGGGAAAGAGAGGTAAATTAACGAATGTTAAAGGTCATGCAAAATTATTATATAAATATTATATAAAAGTAATCATAGGCTCGGAAAACAAGGTTTCCTCTTCAGGCGTAAATAGGTGCAATGGAAAGACTTCTGAATTCTGAATTCCTGACGCCTCCTCAAATTCCATACATCCACAACTGCTGCACGTGCATTTATTCACATTCACAGACATTGTCGATTGTGCTTCGAGGCGTTTAACAGACCAAGCACATGTTGTATTTCTTCTCTCTTGCAATTCAGGGTCTCTGAAGTTTGAATAAGTCATTTATGCAATCGTTGAAATGCAACAGCCGGCGATAAATGGTTATCACCTCCCTTTCATTCTGTGACACAATTCAAGGTTGGTAAAGCATCGCTTTTCTCCGGACGTTGTAAGTAGCTGTGATGCATTTTTAAACCGATGGTGCCAATTCAATGTTGATAATAACGTTCTCTATATGAGTCTGCGTTTTCTATTTTGGAATAACTTAGATTGGGATTACTCTACACTTTGCCTCTTGCCAATTCTCATGGGTTTCATCCAAAAGGCACAAGCGACCAAAGTAAACTAGTGGCAGTTTGTTACTTGTAGTGAGTATATCAGTCATCGTCTGTGAATGTATAGTGATATATGTCATTGAAACATGGCAGCACCTTGTGTTGGAAATGTTATAGAATTGTGACATTACCAGTAACTGATTCATATGTTTCGTGTTCAAATATCGCATGTTCTGTGTACCTTCTGTTAAAAAATACACGTGACAAGGGCGTTGTCACACAGCTGTACTGCTGCGTGCTCCAAGTTGCATCGTTCTTTATGATATTCCCAGTAGTTTCCGTTGACCATTATCAAATATATGGCGATGACATATGATGTGACACCTCAAGTCAAATGACTAAGTCAATTCATCACCCGGAAGCAATCTGAAGTTTTCACAGAGTACCATTGCTATTTTCATGAACCTTCACAGAGTCGGCATGACATGCACGTTGGATTTATGTTATGGTTTGTAACTCACACTATTTTCAGATACCTAGTATGAGTTTTCAACTTACATGGAAAAACACTGTTTTCGTCTTAGCATTCCATGAATATTTGAAACACATCCTGTGCACTTAAACATGTAAAAAAACACTGGAAACAAGTGAATCGCAATCTCTATGCAAGGTCCATTATCAGGGTGAAAGTGTGAGCATTCAACTCAAATACCACATTGCAGAACAAATTGTTGAAAAGGGAAATATCGTGATAAACTGGATAGTTCTCGTATGGTTCAACCTGACGTTATAAATGTTTTACTTCAGATTTATCAAGTGTTTTCACACTGGCGTTTCCAATGGCACGAAAGTTGTCATTAATAATTGGGCTTATAACCGTCGTTGGTTTCCTCTGTGGATAACATGGATCTGCTCTTCACTAGTTTTTGAAGCATATGAACAACTAAACTCTGTTCAGAATGTGTATGGGAAGGACGTACAGACATTTTACGTTGACAAGCGGAGACATGACGTTCTGGTCTTTTTACAAATACCCTACACAGGAGCCAAAGATTTGTCGACTCTGCTTCAGAACGGTCTTATTTTTGACAAGTGCCGTAACTGTCAAGGACAACGAAACTGCCCATGTTTTGTATATAGCAGGGAAGAAGTGTTATTTTCCAGCATTAAACATCCATGGCCGTGTGGATATTATCCAGCCTTGAGGACACTGGAGGCGTGTATTGGCGATATTCGAAACCAAGGCCTTCGTCGGGGAGTTCTGAAGAATACGAGGCACGTTGTTTTAAAAACAAAATGTCAGTTATGTTTTTTGTATATTCATATGCATTGATTCTGCACTGTGATGTGCATCATTTCACCCAAGTTGGGTAGTTAATGGTTACAGCTACGAATGAAATGTGCGCATTTTTTTTTTTATATACTAAAAGCAAACACTTTTGGGGACCGACAAAAACACCAGAAACAATAGTAACGTCCCACATTAGCAAATCATTTACGCATAAATCTTGTTTTAATTCCACATATAGCTCGCAATCTGCATAAGGACTCAAAGGCAATGTAAAACATGATACGTATTGTTTTTCAGGTATCTTTACATGACACTTCTACGTTACCCACTCCATCACTTCTACCACGAATGGCACGAGGTCAGGACCCATGGATGGCCAAAGTGGTCTCGGATTTCTTCTGCCAAACTGGACAATGCAAATCCAGAATGTCGTGCAATGTCCAAGGGGAAAGATGTCAGTTTCAAAACTTTCACTAGCTGTCCGCAGAATCCCGCATTCAACAGACAAACACGAATGTTAGCAAATGTTTCCTTGGACGAATGCCTTTCTACCACAAGAATGTCCGAAAAACAGTGTTATGATAAAATGTTGAGCAGTGCCATAGACACACTTAAGCATATGCCATTCTTTGGAATAACGGAGTATTCGTACTTAACTCAACTCGTTTTTGAAGAGACGTTTCGGTTTAAAGTGCTTGATAAATATGTTCATCCACTCCATATGGAAACATTCATGTCTTTTGACAATATTTCACATGAAGAAGTGGATACCATTATTCATCTCAACAAATATGACTTCTTGTTGTATGATTATGCACTGGAGTTATTCTTTGAAAGATATGACAGTCTAGTCACATTTAGGCTTAATTAATCTCATTAAATTATGTTTACGTCGTAAAAGGAAGTTACTGTTTTATGATCGACCAACGTGTTCACTTGGTTTTGGGTATTTTTGGCTTTGAATATTGAAACATGTGTACAAAACCAAATATAACCAGACAGAGTATAAAAATCCGCCTGGCATGCAGGATGACACCGTTTGGATCTGGATTCTATTGTCCCACTTAAAGGAAGATCATGAGGTCTTACCGGTACCGTGTACACTGGTCGCTTTGAATACTGTTTCATATTGATTCCACAGTTGAAATAACTAAAAGTTAACTGGAAATCAGTCCTTATAGGACATGGTATGAAACCAACAAACAACAAAGAGATGGGGTGTTTTGAACAATTGCATTCTACTAATAACTAAGTTTACCAAATAATGCACACCACTACTAAGATATGAAAGTAGTGTGATGCAAAGGCAGAGATTATAACAATAAAGACAGTTATGGTAATATTCATCTCAAGCATGCGCAAGCTAGCTCTTTGCTGAGTACCTGGAGTAAGGACGACCTTCATACTATGCGGATGAAATGTGTTAACTCCCCTTACATATTTAAGAAAAAGCCTACTGATCTTTCTATAATGTTCTCGGCGTCAACAGAAGTTCGTAGTACATTCCTGAACTAAACATACAACAAGTGAAAAAAGAGCACAACATTGCAAATTACTGAACGTCAACATGCACAATGTACCTCGAACATTGAGTCACAATGAATAACACTGCCACATATCAAACTTTCATGATGAAACATGTCAGACTTATGATGACAAGGACAATTCACACTTGACACATTGATTGTCTGTTGTCAGAGAAAGTGCCACGACTCTATTTTGCCATACCTTTCATGTGCACAAAACAGCATGTCACAAAACACCCAACACGATGATATTGATAAATAATAGACCTTCAAGAGTTATTGTATGTGCACGTGTAGCTTGTACTTAAAGCTGCAATAAAACGATAAACCTTTGCTTCATTTCCTGTACTCCGACTTGACATCTGCAAGAAATTATTCTCACTTAAACATGTATGATTCTGACAAAGCGTATAGGAGTCTCAACATTTAAACGTGGACCTTTACTTGAACTAGTTCCCATCAACACGATATGTTTCTGATATCATACGCACACCATATTGCACCTTACTGAATTTCAACAATGTATTACACTTGGATCATTGCGTCACAATGAATATCACTGTCACATATCAACATTTTATTATTAAAGCTATACTAGGCAAAACTGAAGACTTGACACTCGGGATTTTTTTGGACTAGGTCTTTAATATTAGATTTAAGACATTACGTTTAGTTGTATGCTGTGCACAGAACATCTTGACATCAAAGGACAGCAAAAACAACAACAAACAAACAAATCTCGCCAAAACTTTTAACAACGATAACGTTCATGGTGTCAAGGTACCCTCCAAAATGAAGTTCACTGCGTGGAGAACAATTCGATTGTGGTCTTCAGTGTCACGCCTCCCACAGCACGCTGACGTTCTTGGGTTCCCAAACAAAGATTAAAATGAAAAGTTTAATTTGTTTTTCCAGCTCACTTTCTCAATTTGAGTGTTCAGTTTAAGCAAACATACATCAAATGACCTCATGAATTTGCTTTTCACACGTGCATTTCTTGTTTTTTCATCTTTATAGGCTAGAAAGTCAAGGTTTGCATGTGAAGTTATAATTTCACGTGATTAAAGCATTCACACTGTTCACTACTCATATAATTGCATAACTATTTGATTAAACAGAAAAAAAATCAAAATTTATCAGAGTCAATTTTAATGTAACACATTGTTACTCTCACTCATATTTCAAAATGTTCGATAAAAATAGAGGGGGATCTAACACTAACATCTAATGACCCCATGATGACAACAATATATGACGTCGTCGCAAAGTCATAAGACCTTAGCTTGCAGTATGGTAAAGTGCATATGTCAAAACAAGGACAATGTGTGTGTGAGTGTGTTCCTATATACCAACTTGACATATAAATCGATATAAATAGATTTTTAGATATTGCTGCCATGACTGTAACACTTGAACAGGTTGTATCACCAATGGTGTGACAAGTATGTAAAGTTTCATCTTCTTTGGACTAGTGTTATTGTCAGAGATGATGTTACAACGCACGGCGGACAGATCACAACAAAAGCTCACATAGTGTTTGATGAGGTAGGCTGTGAAGGCATCGAGCATTCTAGATAAGGCATAGCACTATAGGACAACATGAGGTATAGGAGGTTTTGGTTTCTTCTTCAACTTGATTTTCACCTTGCTTTAAAATGCTTTCCTGACAGTCTTCGCGAAATACGTTACAGCTCGATTTCAAAGCACAAGAAAAAGATTGTGTTGAGATCATTTCGTGAAGCACGAGCATGCGTATTTCTATTTTTATTGCGTTTTCCCGTCTTCTCAAATGTCACAAGCCGTTGTTTTTGTCATCACTGATCTGTGCATGAGACTCTAATAAACAAAACAAACGGAAGTACCTATCATCGCTTCTGAGTGGTCATCTATTACGAATGTTTTGTTGTCTTACGATATAGGATTTACTGTTTAACAAGTGCTACGTTTACATACTTTCCAAGCTATTGTTAATTTTCTTAAGTGTTCAAAGGCAAAACCAAGGACAACTCAAAGGCGGAACTTGACACATTGTTGGTCTGTTGTCGAAAATGTTCTATGACTGAGCGAGGTTGGAGTTTCAAAGCTCCATTTGGCCATACCCTTTAGGTGTACAAAAATAACTTCTTACAAAGACTTAACTTAATGATTACACTGAAACAAAACAGGTAGATATATAGGAAATATGTGCACCTGCAGCTTGTATTTATAGCTGCAATAAAATCACAAATTATGACCAGCTCCGAGTACACCGACTTCACATATGCAAGAAATAACCCATCCTTCAACATGTATTATTCTGTCTTAGTGTAGAAGAGCAGCAACATTTACACGTGGACCTAACGTGATCTAGTTCCCAACACCAGGATATGTTTCTAATATTCGACGCCCAAGCGAAAACATTTACCACGTCAGAAACATCCTTTTGATGCTCTTACCTCATCGGTTACAGGTTGCTATCATCACATTCCCATTGCTGTATATGCCTCAACGGTTTGCCGTCATGTAACAAGGTGGATACAAAATAGAAAAACAAAACATATAGCGGTGAAAATATATATGAGAATCAGTAATGACACCACATGTTTGCATTTTCATGTGCTCTTCGTTTATGACTGCTGGAAGCCTATAGAAATGCAACATTATCCCATATCATGACATCTGATAGTACAATAAGGTACCCGAATCATGCCCAGAACATCAAACCCTCAACAAGAAAATAATAATAAAGAAGAAGTAATCATCCTCAACTAGTGCTACCGAGTCTGACTCGAATACAGGTGACACACCGGCAAGTAAACGCCCCGTCGGTATGAATGTAGGCGAGGCTGTGAGAAGTTCTCTGGACACGGTCAACACACAACCACCATTTCACCCAAAGTATATGCAAAGCCAAGGTAAGTACCAACAAAACCCTTACCCCCAACCACAACAAACTCAACACAATCCCGACACGGCGGCCATTTTAGCCAAGTTGGATCAGATGGATGCCAGACTCGCTAAGCTCGACACTATTGAACATGATGTGAGTTCTATAAAAGCAGACATGGCTAGGCTTGAATTGAAAGTTCAGGAGATCGATGGCATTAAAACACGTTTAACTGAAGTCGAAGCAAGTACACGATTCATCAGTGATGGTTTCGATAGATGGGACGCCGATAAAGTAGGTTTAGAAGCGGATCTACAATCACTGAGGGGTAAGGTGGATGCATGTGCATCCGAAATATCGCGCTTAAGAGAAGACCACTTCGCTCTAAGAGAGTACACAGTAGATCTCAGGTGCAGGTCCATGCGGGACAACCTTATATTTACTGGTATCCCCGAAACAGAACCCCAGCCTACACTGGATCATTGCCAGAATGTGCTGAAGGGATTCATTAAGGAGCATCTCCAAGTAGACTGTGATGACATGAAAATTTAAACGTGTTCACAGGATCGGAGCTAAACAACATGGAGGAACAACGAGACCACGAGCCCTCATCGCAAAGTTTATACACACACGAGACAGAGACACGGTAACGGGATCAGCTCGTCGACTAAAAGGTAAATCTTTCAGTGTCATGGAGCAGTTTCCAGATGAGGTCGCCCAATACCGAAGGGAGGTGCTCATGCCCCTGCCGCGAGATGCCAGGAGACAAGGTAAACAAGCCTACATGATCATAGATAAACTGTATGTAGACAGGAAACTACAAGAGGTATCCACCCCACCTCCTTACGGACGCCCAACTGTAACCTACACCCGTAGTGCCCCCCTAGGACAGGCACGGTGGTCAAAACCTCCATACTGACCAAGGATGTGACTCTCATTGTGTAGCTGATGACAGGTCTCGTACAACAACAGCAACTCAACGTACAACTCTGTCAACAATGTAAACGTGATTTATTATGTAAGGGTTCAAATACAACTCATTCGTTTCAAGAGGATAACCATCCCATGTCACCAATACATGTTGATAAGGATATAACCAATGACTTACTAGTAATGCATCCACCTTCCATAATTTTATCTAATGAAAGTCCAAGTGAGCCATTTGCACCAATCATGACAATTGACAAAAATGCAAGTGACAATAACATTCCAGTAAATACCATAACATATGTTCCATGTAAACCCCCCTAGTCTATCTCATATTATAACCTCCTCTGTGACATCAAATGTGCGCAATCATAATGCTGATACAGACTTAGTTGAACCAAATACAAACACAAACATGTCTGCTGATACTTTCAGCAATAAAACAAAACATTTTGAAAACCTCGCTAAATTTCTAAATGCCTTGTCAGATGCACTGAAATTGTAAACGAATTATAACAATAATAATTAATCTAACTATCATAGTATCCGCCATCTTGATTGTGTATTTATGTTAAATTGTATATCATTATATTCTCATATAACACCGTGGGTGGGTTTTTAGAGAATAAAATGTTCTTCTTCACACTAGTTGCACGACCACCTTAGTGTTTGCTTTTTCACTGATGGTGGATGCACAAATGACGTTACATGGACAAACATAATTTCGCCAATAAACTCTGATACAGTGTCAAGACTTGGTCAAACGACATGGCTCGTTTATGAAACAACAGAATTTAAGTTTCGCAGTTGACTCTTCTGGAACACAACGGCTAATTAGATAGTCATCTTTCACTTGAGGGGCGGTGGGGTAGCCTTCTGGTTAAATCGTCCGATCGTCATGCTGAAAACCCGGGTTCGATTCCCCACATTGGTACAATGTGTGAAGCCCGTTCCTGGTGTGCCCGCCGTGATATTGCTGGACGATTGCTACAAGCGGCGTAAGAAGGAGGAGGTCATGGACACATACACCTCCCTCCTTCATCCCCAACCACCTTCTTGCTGACATGTTCCTTTATGCAGTTTTTATCGATCAGTAAAAAGCCAATTAGACTGAGAATTTGAAATGAAGCTTGAGACACATCGTTGATGTAATATCGAACATCAGTAGTCAAATAGCCAACTTCTGTTCACAGATTTACCCTCCAAATAGAAGCGAACATGGAATCCACCTCATGTGATCACTTGCGTTATAATTCGACTTTATAATATTCCAACAGTTCCAGACATTGGCGTCTCTATTTCAGAACGTTAAACGTACAATCGGGCTTCCACTTTCAACGATGAATTGAAAAGGCGTTATACCACTCTCGCTCAGACATTTTTTGATCAGGGTTACAGCATTCGAGACCGAGGTAAGGTTTCAAAAGTTTATGAGGAAGATGTGTCGAGAGTGTTTGTAAATTTGTGGCACAAACGGCCATTTCCTTCTCTTCGGTTTTCTTTTCAAGCAGACGATTTGATTTGCCTTTTCATGGGTTTGTTAGCTTTCCAAACCTTGATCATTTCTGTTAATGTCCAAACCATTTTTGGTGCGGTGCGGTAGCCTAATGGTTAAAGCGTTCGATTCCCCACATGGGTCCCCCGCCGTGATAATGCTGGAATATTGCTTAAAGCGGCGTAAAATCATACTCACTCACTCATTCACTCAAACCATTTTTATGTTATTTCTCTACTTTGGCAAAGACCTTAATGGTAACAGCCCAGTTCGCGGTATTTAAGTTAACAAGTTACACGACCTTTTCCCGTCAATGTTCAAACCATTTTTATGTTATTGTTTTTACGTTGGCAAAGGCCTCAATGATAATAGACCAGTGTACGGTTGTAATTTATCTATAAGTCACACGACATTTTGTGCTATCTAGTATCGAAAGTTTCACCAAGTGAGTCATGTAGCATTTTTTTTTTGAACTAAGTATTATTTTTTAATGAAAAGTACAATGTTCAGTGTTACTATGATTTGGGTTGATTTAAAATGAAATATTGAAGGGACGTAGAAGCACACACATTTTAGTATCATTTGTTATAATCAATTGATTTTTCCATCACAAGGGATACATATACTAGCTACATAAAGAAACTGTGCACACAGAAAATTCCTTCAGAATTAGAATACAACACAGAAAAGACGAAATGATAGAGACACTTTATAAGCTGAAGTATCGGACTACAACAAAATGTCAAAAGAACATGAACAAAATCCGTAACGATGACGTCAGAAGTTCAAAATCGAGTAGGTGGTCACATGACGAAGTCACAAAGTCAATAACGGGTATGACCACCATGTGCGTGAAGCACAGCAGTGCATCGACGACGCACAGAGGCTACCAAATGAGCATTGAAAGCCTGGGGAATGGTTTGGACGTGGTCACTGTCGTCTGGAACCTGTGTATGAGATGAGTCACCCGAATCCATCTGTCCTGTCTTGGCGTCGTTACGTCGGGGACGCCCAGAACGTGGATGGTCGGTGACGTCATTACTGTTTCGATAACGCCTGATCAATGCAGATATCGTGTTACGATGGCATTGGAAATGTGCTGCCACCTGTTGTTGGCTCATTCTTGCTCGAACCATTCCAATAGCTTCTTGACGTTGAGCAGATGTTAATCTTGGCATGATGTGCATGTGACTTCTCATGTGAATTTGTGTACGTTTGAATGACCAAGGATCAAGCTTTCGACAGTAAATGCAATTTCTGAGTTTCACATGTTGTGTGCGGTTACACGGACTGCACGTGCAGTAACACATTGCAAGTCCATAGGCCACCATCAATGACGTCACGTCGCCTGGCACGTTCATGAGCGTTTGCTTGTCTCCAACACTTGCTATGTTCACACTTGTATTTATGTATAAAGACACTGTGTGCCTATATTTATATTTTCTGTGTGCACAGTTTCTTTTTGAGGCCAGTATATTTCAGGTTCAAAACAATTAAGGGTCTCTTTTTTATTATGTTAATAATCATTTAAAACTTTTTTGAAAGAATTAGAATTGTTTGAATTTGAATAACATTTTTGAAAATAGATCAGTGGGATTTAATAATTGGTAGATTAAAGTAATAACTGAGATTGTTAGTGACTGTATCCTCAAAGGGAGTTAAAGTATTGTAAAATTATTGACCCCTGGGAGGGTCTTTCAAGGTATAATTAATCTGACCACATTTTCTAATCGTTGTATATATGTTCGTTTGAATTAATGGTTAGATTTGTTCAATTTACCAACAGCTGAAGGGATGATATACATCGAGCAGGGGTCCATGCAGGTAGCAAACGTACTGTAACTCATCATGGTCCTTAGTATGTCAATCTACATTCGGTTGTTGGCTACCTATAGCCCATTTCTATATTGTATTGCTACAGTGTTTTATGTATATATGCTGGTTTTAAGTGTAAATCTGTGATAAACTAGTTATGTTACTGTCTTTTGCAGACAGATTAGTATATTGGCTAACTTTTTATTTATTTATAAATTTACAACTTTCATAGTCACGGTATGGCTGAAATACTGCCGATGTGACTTTAAATATTAAATCACTAACTATAACCAAATGTGCAACTGTATCCGAACTGGTGTTTCGTTATATGCATCACATTATGCAGTAAAGTCTTAGGATTTGTCGTATGAGGATGATAGCGCATGTCGCCACCGCTGTAGAAGTCACGATTATTGCCAACAAACGTTTGCGAAATGACCAAGAACATTCTCAAAGACATTCTCTGTAGAGTTTAAAAACTCGCCGAGTGGAAGCCTAGTGGCCAAGGATTTCTCACGGTGCTCCGAAGGTTGGATTCTCCACATAACTATAATGTGTAACCCCCATTTCTGACGATGCCTGCCGTGAAGTTGCTGCAATGTTTCTAAAAGCAGCGCAAAGCCATACTCG